TTGTGTTGTTAGATGAAGTGTGGCAAATGCTGAGAAGCGAGATGCAGCTTTCAAAATGCATATGCTGCGCTACGTTACATGATTTCTTGAATCAGGTCCAACTGTGATGGTTTTCTACTGTATTATCACACCACCTCTGTCATTTGTAGGCATGGGTTTTTTACAGCCTTGTCTTCAGCTCCTCGTCTTCAGGAGCACTATCTTCATAACCTCATCGATTGGAGTTGCCTGCAACCTGCCGGAGGCAGCCGGGCCATTTCTTGGACAGGATGGAACAGGGATTGTAGAAGTCAGGCTTCCTCATGAGGAGGCTTGGGGGGCATGCATTCGGAGGCAGGTGTTTCAGGACTTCAAGCCCGTTTTTGGAGGTCAGAGTCACAAGATGCTAGGATGAGCCCGTGTCATGGTAAGAGGAGATCCGCACCCGTGAGGGTGTCAAAGGTTGAGTTTCTTCGCTGCATCAATGCCACTGGCATGTGGCATGTGCAGAAAGCGTTGCTTCTGTTGCAAGTGCGGAACATGCTTGCTGGATGTCCTAACGCAAGCCCCCTGTCTCTCCATCTGGGACCCAGGACAGTCTGATGCAGAGAATATCCTTTGTGCTCACGTCTTGTAGCGACATGTTGTAGACGCTTTGAAAAACTTCCTTGAGGTGCTGATACCCTGGCTTTTCGTGGCTGGTGTGTTGGGAATTATGTGCCTTTGCCAGCAAAGCATGTGTGTAATTTTTGCACGGGGAGTCCGGTTTTCATGCCTCACATAGTACGAGGTTCCTGTACAGAGGCCTCTGATAGCGTGGTAACCTCACCTGCTCACTGAGGCGTCGATGAAACAAGCCTGTCATTCTGGCCTGCAACTTATTAGTTCGGCCTTCAGCGCCAGTAAATCCGAAAACGATAATTTGCCATGGAAAGAAATTTCGTTCACTGTACCATATTCATCCTGGTCTGGCGTCAAAACAGCCCTTACTAAACACCTTCTGTTTGAGACATCCACTCACCGCACATTTTGGACACCTGCTATTGCGGATGAGAGGTAATTTGCAACGAGATAGCAAGAAGGGGCCGGAGTTTACTTGGCTGTGCCAACCAGTGAGTCCACAAGGCACCACACAGAAACTTGAGACGACATGAAAACCCTTGCAGCCTGGTTGAAGCCTTGTCAGAGACAAACGTCAACATAGAAACTTACAAAACACCTGCAGACCGGGAACTTCAAGCGACCCCAAAGTTAACACGACTCTTCTAGGGATTACGGAGATGCCCCGCAAGGATCACTAATATGTGTAACGTTGAAAAACCCTAAGATCATCCAAGGATCTCAAGTCGCTCCGGCAGCGCCTTCCTAGTTGATGAGGCAGCTATCTTGGCTAATTACATTGGGAGCTTCTCGAAAGATTGGACTGTAGAGACTTTGGCAACGTTGTGCGATTCAGGAAATGTCTCGGATCACTATTAATGGAGTTTCCCGAGAATAGTTTGTAAGCATCACAGCGCCCATTGGAATCAGAGTCGACGATAGTACCATTTCGCATAATATTTTGCGATGGTCTGGCATGTTTACCTTGTAACAAGACCAGAGAGGCAAATTTGTGCTCGACGCGCTCAAGGTTGAAGGATGAGGTTCTGTGCAGAGTCCTCATGTAGTCGAGCTGAGGGTCTGGCGGCCTCATTCTTGCTCCATGTATTTGGTACGTGTTCCCAGGATCTCGCACGCAAAGAGAAAGTATGTAGGCTCCCATCACGAGGTGCAGTCTCACTAAGTACAGTTCTGGAAGTTCTTTATCTACGATCAGCTGTCCAGCCAGCTTTCGCTCCAGATCCCTTCTGTTTCCTTGCATCTGACAGTCCTTGGAAGTGGCGTGGCCACACATTGCCCTGCTCTCCGATGGGGCCTACTGCGCTCTGAGATCTGAAGCCGTGACCCTCGGACGCTTGCCCTATCAGCAGGACCATTGCACCAAATTTGGGAAGTCGTGATACACATAAGACTGGTAGGAATATTGATGATTGATTAAGCAGCCTTAGACATGAAGAAGCAGCAGCCACGGGATACAAGTAGATAGGTGCAAAGCGCCCGAGGCAATCTGGCTTCTGTCATCATTGTCTACTATGTGGTGCTGCCGGTCCGCGCGAGTGCAGGGCCCTCTATTATCGCAGCTAGCAGGAGCACATGTGAGAGGTTACCAGAGGCGGTTTGTTTTTGTTTTCCTAACGCGGCGCTTTCTCTAAGGTTGGGGCCTGGTTGACGGTCGCCATCCCTCTTGTCTTCTATGGATTCACTTTGTTGAAGAAGGAGCCGGATGGCGGGTCCGTGCCGCAGCTCAGAATCTCATACATGCAGCAGCCGTCAACGGCAGGTGTCATTCATAGGCAAACATCCTAAAGGCAGAGAGAGATCTCAGGAACCGCTGTAACCATGATATGTCTTTGTATGCCGGGCTCAGGAGTCATGTTGTCAAAGGTTGATTTGACAACCAAAGCAGTGCAGCAAATTGAGTTGAACCACTCAGCACAAAGGTGGCCAATGAAGACACTGAAAGAACATTTCTTCACAGACCGTTTTCCAGACAGGCAGAAGACGCGGGGATTGGGATGACCAAAGCTGTGCTGTACTGAAACTCCAACCCCAACACCGAAAACCCTCCACCCAGGTGCGGACACTGAGCCTTGCTATCCGCCTCGAAATTTGCTGCGTCGTGGGTCTTTGGGCCTGTTTACATTCACTGGCAGGTTCTCGCAGTGCCGTATACATACAGGGTGCCCCAGATGGTTGCATTTCGTGGAGTTCCGGAGTTCAGCCAAGCTGTCTTTTGTTGGAGGCCTTGTTGGGCGCGTGTACATCGAGATGGGTGAGAGGCTGGGGAGTCGGATGTTCCATATCGCGATTTCTCAAAGTAGGGTCCTGCACTTCAAATTATGCCCCAAGGTATGATTCCGCCTCATTGAGCAAAAAGACCCTCAAGGCACCCAGAAGTTTGAGTAAGCCCCCCCGCATGAATGACTGCATCTTGGTGATCTTGGTGTGTCCACTGGACTCTTTCCTGCCTGCACCCTTTCTCGCTGTAGATACGTACGCAGTAGAGCTATCCTAAATCCAAAGTCCAACGTCGTAAGTCTCGTAAGCTCAAGTTGAAGCTGCAGAGAGTTAACCCTCAGTGCCAGACCCAGAAGCTCATCAGCACCAGCACCTTCTGTTGGCAACTATTCTGGGTGACAAAGATAGGTAGGCCTTTGATACTTGCATCTCAATATTCTTGTTGTGTTACCTTCGAGCTCCTGCTAAAGAGAACCCCCATGATCCCTTTGTCACCGTACATATCCCCAAGGTGCTCACAGGCCACCCAGGTTGTGACCTCCCCTGAACAGGTCAGCATTCCTTCGTGTTTGCAAAATCGAGGAGGCGGGCAGAAGTTGCTGCAGTGACGTGAAGGCATGGAAGAAAAAGAACGTATTCACAGCGGCCTCCTACTCAAATCTCGATGTTGTAGACATCAACTGATAGCAGGTGACAAGGAGGCAGCTGCATTCCCTGCTTGTGCAAGCTCAGGGTGTTTGGGCCAAGTTTGGAAATCCTCTTCTCTACAGCTTGGAGACAGTAAGTCAGGCGCAGCTAGGCCCAGACAGTAGCTTGAGATCCAGCTGCATCCAGCTGCATGCGCTGGGAGGACCTGACACAAGAAAAGGTTCTTCGATTCGCTGCCGAGCATGAGGTGCAGAGCCTCGCTTGAACCAATCGTCATCATCATGAGCTTGCCGCTCGCAAGGGGCAGATTTCAAGCTTCGCTGCAATGAGCGCTGGAACAAGCCACACCAAAGGATCCTGCACGGGACCTTCTCAGCATGATCACATCCCCAGCTCAAAGTAAACTGTCATGTTCGCAGGCTCACGTGTAGGACGCTCATTTTGGCTGCTGCTTATGGACAGGTAGGCGTGAATGTCTATTGAACTTAACCTCGCTCTGTTCATGGAATTTGCTCAGGCAAGGGCCATTCGCCTACAGTCGTCCGAAGAAGCTTGCCCGCATGCAGCGGCTTCCTTGCAGAGTGTTGAGGTTTAGGCATATGTACATGTACACCGACCTGGTAGCGGGATGCCTCTTTCAGCCTGCGCTGTCGCTGTCTGCTTTTGGTTGTCTGCTCTTGCCCATAGCTTCGTTGCTGTGCCAGGACGGATGCAACAAGCAGCACGCAAGCAAGCCACCAGTTTCGTCCAGCCAGCCCGTCCAGCCCAGTCAGAGAGGAGGTGGGCAGTATGACAGGGTCGATGGTGAGCCGCCCTCTCAGCAGCCGCCTGGCAATCGATTAAGGCATTTGATGAGACTGCTGTGGTGTTGCTCTCGTGCGGTTGTGCCGGTAGTGAGGAGCTACATAGCAAGAGTTTGTGGTTCAGCCCGCAGGATGCCCATCTTCGGGAACCCCGAGTCCCCGAAATGCCTGAAGCCCTGCAGCAGCGGCTGCGGCGGCGGCAGCAGCTCTCAACAAAACCAAGGCATCATCTTCACTCCGTCCGAATCTCGCGCCCCGGCTGCGTTGGTTTGGCGAGTGCAGAAGCTGACGCAGATAAAGGTGTTTCAATTGGGTTATATGAGAAGCCCCAGTCTTGTGCGCTCGAATGAAACTCTGACAGCATAGGTTCAGGATGGTTCAGGCCTCTGCTCGGTCATCTACATAAGCTTACTCGTACATGGCGATTGGGATTGCTGAGGCGACGTGCCAGTGGAAATGCAGCTGGCAGCCATGAAGGCTGATTCTTTGAGACTGTTGAACGGCAGGGAAAACTCCAGATAAGCAGTTTGCATCCTTGCATCCCTTGCAATTGCTAGTCAGAAGGTTCTCTGCGTGCTGAAGGCGTCACGTATGAGTTAGCCTTCCTTGTAACATGCTTCTTCTTTGTTCATCTTTGCCGGTGATGTGGAGTCAACCAGGTTTGGATGAAAATCCAAGTAGCTGGCAAACCTGAGGGAACACAGCAGCCTTCACTTCTCGGCCGTTTGACAGGCGGTAGCTGCTGAAGAGAAGTGGCTCATCGCCTGGTCCGATGTCTCCTTCCATGCAAACCTGCTCGGACGCTGCCATGATGTCATCAGGTCTAGTACAGTGGTAAGAAGGAATCGTATAGTAGCAGCAGTAGCAAGGGAACTAACAGAAGAACAAGTGGTGGTGGAAGTAGTGGCAGTAGTGCTGCGGCAGAAGTGACCCGGACCCACAACATGACAGCCTGTCTCGCTTTGACAGTTTGAAGGCATGTCATCTTTTCAACATCAAAATCGGAATACATGGAACAGTATGGTGTACATATGGGGCTGTGAGGTCCTTGAGGGTTTGCTCGCTTTCAGCTAGGTGAAGTATGATCTGACTATGTGTCATGCTTTGATGTGCCCTTGGGATTTTTGTCTCAACTGGAGTGATACCATGTAAGCACCGTGCGTTGAAGTCGCCTTTGGGCTTCGCTTTGTTTTTCATGCAAAAAGTAAGATGTAAGCATTATGCTTTCAGGTCCTCTTAGGGTTTGTCCCTTTCGAAGATTGCAACAGTATGGCTTCAAGCATTTTCTTGTTCAGACTTATAAAGCATTTCTCAGGCCCTAATGGGGCCTAATCTTGAGAGCCCAAACATTAGTCCCTCTCTTCCTCACACTCTTAGACCAATGGGTGTACCTTGGACTAATGGGGCGAGCTTGGATTGAAAAGCACTCCTCGAACCCTTGGACGAAGGGGCCGCCCCTTCGACTAATGGGGCGCAGGGAGAAAAACGCCAAACGCACATGAACAGACCAAAAGTTCCAAGGGCACAGTTTGAAGAAAGAGCTATAGCAAAACGGCGAATGTCATACGAATGCAAGTCTTTCTGGTTTGTTAAGAGTCCACAAGCTACAGATGTCAAACATCGGACGTCGAAAAGCGTACACCAAGAAATTGCTGTACATGCCGGTACAAAGGCTTTGTGGGGAAAGTCAAAGCGAACAAACTACATACATCTCAGGCCTCCCAACCCGAGACTTGAATAGATTTTCAAGGCAAGGCAGGGAGCACCAACGTGCAAGAGCGTGAAGGCGCAAAAAAGGGTCTTCGAACATCTGAAGCGTGCTTAGTACTACAAGGAGTATGTACTAGTTTAGTAGTAGTACCAGTAATCGTCATTATCCTGATGGTAGTGGTCGTAGTGAGAGGTAGCAGTAGTAGCAATAGAAGGAGAAGTACAAGATATAACAGACAAAAGCAGAGAGAGGAGCAGGACGGGGAGGAAAAGCAGGAGGATGAGGAGGAGTAGTAGTAGTAGTAGTAGTAGAAGTAGTAGTAGTAGTAGTAGTAGTAGTAATTGTTGTTGTTGTTGTTGTTGTTGTTGTGGTTGTTGTTAACGTTGCTGATGTTGTTGCTGCTGCAAATC